CCTTCTTGGGAGAGAAATCTATGCAGCCCACTTGACAGAAGTTGCTTTCCATACAAATACTGAAGATGGGTTACCCATACAGGTTACTGACCCTCCTTCCCTCCTCCCTGTCGGAAATTCCTGCATTCAGTTGATGAAAAGGCTGCTGTGGCCCTCTTCTTCCCTCCTGTTCTCTGCTGTGAAAGCCCAAAGGATGTGAAGGAAGCCAGTGCAGCCACAACAGATATTGTTATTCCAGAAGAAACTCATCTCATACATATGAATGCAGGCTCACTAAGAGCGAAATTTGTGTGGACAACACCTCCAAAGGGCTCTTGCTTACTGAAAAGCAAGTAAGAGCTCCTTTGTGTGATAACTGTAGAACCGAGCTTTTAAAAGCTTGACCTTTTGGTCTGTTTACTCTGTACTCTCAAAGAAGGAGTTTACTTCTCAGGCGAAACCTGCTCTGAGAAATGGAGCTAGGGATGCTGATGGCAGCACAACTAATTCTGTTCTTGTTGTGGAAGGCTGATGGAAAGTCATTAAGCTCAAAGTTTATGGTAGGAAGAATATTGCTATGGCAACAATATTTTTCTGAAGAAAAATATGCATAATCAAATATGGCTCATTGGAACCTAAAGGGAAATGAAAATTAGTATGAATTTATTTGTCTGGAATGTTGATTAGTTTAACAGCTGGAGCCAAATTCATGCTGTTTGAACCAATGCTGAAATCATTCGGCTCAGTCCTGCCTGAGAGCGGATGCACCAGGGATCAGAGAGATCTGGTTAGGCATGGAGACTCTGGGAAGGGATAAGCCAGCAGGAGTGAAAAGGAAACTTGAGTGGGGCGGGAGGTCAAGCAGAGTACCGGGAGATGCGGGAGGGAGTATTATGAGAGCAGTAGATCAGAGCAATATGACAGTTACTTCAAAAATAGCCCTATCACATGCTTGTTCCTGGAATTATTTTTCTAGGTATACCAGCCTTTACAGTCATGGTCTAATTTGCCTTTTTGGAGTTACTTGAAACGAGGCTGTCTTGCTGTTGAAATGAGAAAGCAATCAAAATGGAGGGGAAGACATTATCCTTGGGGTCTGTAGCCCTTCAAAGTAAGCTGCTCTGTGTCCAATAAGAGTATCCTGCAGACTGAAGTACTGTAGCTTTCGTTTGCAGGCTCCAGAATACACAGTAATGTTGATATACAATTATGCAGCATCTCAAGTGGTCCCATCACATCCCTCACAGATGGAGAGTAGTAATTCAGCGTACTGCTACTTCAGACTGTCATGAGTGCTGTTTACGGCTAAGCTCTTTTTTATATATATTTTTTTAACAAAACAAGTTGCTTAAAATCCACCGGGATTAAAGCAGAACAAACAGCAGAGTGGGGAGGACTGTTCATTTCAGAGAAGGATTTTGCCATTTTTCTGGGTCCCGCTTGACTCTAACAATTATGCAATTCTTTGCATGTGTGTTTGCAGATTCTCACCAACCCAAACCATCACTTTGTCGACAGCTCCCTGTACAAAGATGTTATCTTAGTAGCCTGGGATCCGGCCCCCTACTCTGCAAATCTGAACGTGGTAAGGTGTCTGCTTGGTCTTTTCTTCTCAACCAGTCTGAAAGCACTGGAGAAAATGCATGTATTTAGTACTTCAGTCTCCTGGTTCTCACTTGTCACAATGAACCCCAAAGTCTGTGTTCATCTAAGGAGTGGGGAATGCTATTTCTGCATAAATTGGTCAAAATTGGTTTGTTGGTCAAAAGTTTTTTAGCAGCCAGCACTTGCATTGGAACAGACTGCTCTGAGATGCTAGGATAGATGGATGATGGGTATTTTTTGATCAAATATTGGTATTTTCACATAACAGTGAGTTTTCTGTGTGTTTGCCAAGGAGGGAATGTTGCTAGATTTTAAAAGGAGGTTTTATCAGGAAAGGTGAAGAATTGCATCCATTTTTCCCCAACTTCCCCTCTGCCTACCCAGACAAAATACAACACCCTAATGAAAATCTCTCTTGGCGCCTTCCCTATTTCTCAGGCCTCCTCCCCACCAGTCTTCCTTTTGTGTCCACTCCCCCACAGCCATCTGTGCCCCTCCGTCCGCCCCCTCGCTGAGAGCAGCAGACGTCCATCTGGTTGTCACTGGGGGAGTCTCTGCTTTGGCTGGTGATGCAGCTCCAGTGGACCAGTTGATCTGATGGTTCTTGGCAAGGGGAGCTCTGAGCTGAGCAGGCTGCAAAGTAGAAAGTAAACCTTCTTCTGCTGAACTCCCTTAGCAACAGATGCCAGAGGCTGGGGGGCCCTCCGCAGGCTGCCGTCCCGCTGCTTCATGTGCTGCTGCTGCCACCAGCGGTGACAGGGACACTTTTGGAGGAAGGTTCAACCCCCTCGCCCGGGTCTTGTGTCAAGGCTCTTTGAACCCCTTGTTTAAGGTGGGCCTGTGAGTAGAAGGTGGGGTTGGCCCATCCCGCTGCAGTGAATTGCTTACTGGGAGTCTCTGCATGAAGAAAGGGAGCAGAGTAACCCAGAGCGAGGACTGGCTTTCTAGGGCAAGCATCCACCAGTGCAGGCTGCTTTGCCACCTTTGCTTCTGTTCTGAGGAGCCTGGATGAAATTAGTTTACATTAGTTTGTACGTAGTGTTTGAAACACATTGGATACTGTAAGATTATAAAAAAATCTTCCTTTTTTCCTCACAGTGGTATAAGAAGCCTGACTACAATCTATTCACTCCCTACGTACAGCATCGCAGGAGGAATCCAAACCAGCCTTTTTACATTCTGCATCCAAAGTTTATATGGCAGCTCTGGGACATCATTCAGGAGAACACTAAAGAGAAGATACAGCCCAACCCTCCTTCTTCAGGTTTTATTGGTAGGTGTATCAAAGAGGGGCCCAGTACACATGTTAGATTGAAAAAAATATTAAGAATTGTAAATGTGTACATTGCATGAGGATCAAGTCCATGTACATGTACTATTTGTTCTTGGTGCTCTTTCCAGAAACAATGACTAGCTAAAACACACAGTATGAGAACCATGAAATAGCTGGGTGAATTTAACGTTCTGCTTTCTTGCCCTTCACATCCATAGTACGCATACCAGATTTATGAAACATACATCTGTGAGAAATTTGTATTATTCCATATTAATTTATCCATTGAGAACCTACTCGATTCTGAAGTTCTTTGTTGGTATCATAAAGCAGAGATGCATCATACAAGTGAAAGCATATGGCAGGTCATACAGAGAAAATAAAATTGCTGATGCAGTCCC